TTTAAATGTGAGATCCCTATCAAAAATAATATGCAGATTTTTCTTTTTCTTAATATATCTAAAGTGCAAGTATCCATTTTTATTCAATGCTTTCTGTAAGTATAAAATACAAAGGAGAAAAAAAAAACAGCAAGATGTTTTTTTCCTGTTTACATGTTATATTTTCTGAAAGGAAGGAGCATCATATATAACAAACCATATATATATATTTATATACACACACACACACACACACACACATACGCTCACACACACACGCCACAGATAAAATATATTTTTTTGAAAGATACAACATATTATCTCGTATGGGGGATGGGTAAAGGGATCAAACGGTGTCATGGGATATGTTCATTGTGCATTGACCCCCCCCCCCCCATGTTCCCAACGGCCTCCAAACACTTGAAGGAACGTCGCCATAATTATACACAAGAGTAGCCTGTACAATCTGCAAACATTATGGACCCTACTGCTTTGTGCGTGTGCAAACTGAAGACATGCTGCATAACTCCCCCCCCATCCCTAAAGAAAAAAAAAGTTAAGAAACTCCCCCCTCACTATCCTTTAGAGTACTTGGCTTTGACGAGAGGTTGAGATTGGCTGTGATTTCTGCTTTATTTGTTCACCAATAAGGCCTCCAAATACAAAGGTTGGTTTTAGTTGTGGGGAGAAAAAAAAAACGTTATCTTAAGTTTTGTTTTACTCAGAAGTCATTTGCAGAAGCCGGTCGCCCGGCAACAACTTGGTTTGTGTTACTAGGCATGGGCCGGAAAGTGGTGATAACATCACAGTATTAATCTAGGATTTCAATTGATCAAAATGATTTATCATTAAAAAATCAACAAATATTTCTAGTAGTGTTGCACCAATTCCATTTTTAGGCCCCGATACCTGGCTGTGAAGTATTGGCCGACACAGATACCATCTGTTTGAAATTGATGTGTGTGTATCTGAAGAACTGCATACTACTTGGATGTAAAATAATTGCCATCATGGCTTTGTCAAGCTGCTGTCTACCTTCGTGAAGCAGGAAAAAGACTAATACAAAGTGAATCCAGTAGAACTTTTATTCCCTACCTAGAATGGGTGACAATAGTTGAACAAACTTTTGGCTCTCAAAATGGTATCGTGCCCTATTTGTTGGTACTCGCTGATACCGATGACATCATTTTAGTGCTGGATCGGGGCCTCGTCCGATACTCACTAATTTCTACTACAGTAAAAGCGATTTATTGATTATAATGTTCGAGTAATATTTCTGTTATCTATTAGTATCATTAACTTTATTTGATACTAAGGACTTAAAGGTTAGAGCTACTTTTTTATTGGAACTATTAATTCCTTTTTAATTACCACAGAACTAAAGTGGCACAAAATAAAAGTATTTTACTAGAAAAGTTTTTTTTAAAAAGTGTACGAATGAGAGATTTTTAAATTCCGAAATATATAATAAAAATTTACTTCTGGTTATGATTCCAACGTGAACAGGAAAAGAGTGCAATAGGAACAGTAGGTTGCAGTCACATGAGAGCTCAGCAATGCCAGATCCTATTCGCTGCATGTTAGAGCAGAGAAATGGCTTCTTCCTCTTCCTATCCAAACCAAAAAAAGAAGCAAAAAGAAGGTGAAGATCGTTCAAGTTTTCAGAATTGGTGTCGACCTAAGTAGGCGTAGGGGCTCAGAAACCAAGCGGAGGTTTCTTCTTTCCTTATGGACAGGCAGGTTAAATGTTTGCAGACCTAAACGAAGGCAGGCCAGCACGACTGTGCCGCCTACCTGTTGGGAGGATTTCAACTTGTAGCAATAACCTTTCATAAAACGTAGAATGTTTATAACGCCAAATATTCTTATTTTTCAAACAGTAAATTGTGACTGCAGGCAAAATATTTCAGATTTTAAACTGTCTTGAATTCTTTATGTATTAATTTCTAATAATGTATTTATTATAAGACAGCCATGGTTGGGGATTATGCAGCAGTCAGATTAAGTAATTTCCTTCAGGAAAATAAAGTCAATATTAGCTTCTTTTTGTTCTTTATCCACTGACATTGCTGGCTAATTTGCTGAGCTACAGGTAAAGCCTGCAATCGGCAAATAAACCATTACAGATTTTCTTAACGACTGAATTTTTCTTTCTTACTGCAGCCTTTTTTCAGCCATCTGATTAGCAATGCACAGCAACAGGTGTGGTCGGGACAGTGCCACACAGCAAGAGAAAAATACACTCACTTTCACTGGCCTTTTAAAAAAGATATTCACAATAATTCCTTGAAACCATTGCCCGGCTCATGCCTGGTGTTTGGAGAAAAAATAAAAACCAGCCAAAAGCACCAAAAACTGCAGTTATCATTTCCACCTTCATCCTTTGCTTAACAAACACTGCATGGCATCGGTGGAAGGAACTGAAAATCACATTTCATAGGAGAGATGCACACAGAAAGCCAGAAAACACAACCTTTGAGGGGTTGCCTTGATGCTCCCTGGAGTATAATTAATCAAACCATAATTATCATCGATGCTAACAGCTTCACTGAACTTCAGAACACAGCCGGACCCCTGACACTAAGCAGCCGACCATCTCGCATCCTAGAGAAGCTCTAATCGGTGCAACAACATGGCTGCAAGGTCACTCTGGGATTCTTTAGTTTTTGCTTTGAGTCTGAGTGAAACGAGTAACTAGATTTGATTAGCAGATCTAAATAAAAAAAAGTGCGTTCTGGACCTTTCCATGTAATTTCAAAAAGGGACGAGTCACGCGTAGTCAGTAACCTGTAGCTCTGGCCTTAACAGTAGACGCTTTAGTCTGTAAGGACGAAAAGTGCAAGTGTCGCAGAGGGAGGGGGGTCATAAAGTTTCTTATAAACTTTGAGAAGGTGCGATATCTCATATTTGGCTTACAGGAAAACTTTAAGATCGATGTAGCATGAAACTTTTGAAGAACTAAATTAAATCAAGCTTAGGAGGGGAGAAGGAAGAGAGAGAGAGAGAGAGTACTTTGGAGGTTAAAAGCTGCATCCCAACAGAGTTTGGACTTGTATCAGGCTCAGGATGAACTCGGACTGACCTCAGACGTGCTTTGCTGGGCACATAGTCATAGGTGGCACGTGTTCAATAGATATGGGCTTCCTTTCGTCATAATTCACAGCCAGCGTGAGGAAATATCTCTGCAACAGGGCAAAAAAAAAAGATTCCCTGTTCTTTACAATGGCTGGTTAGCTGTCTGCAGAGAACTGCTAGGCCTTTCCTTTCGCCGGCTCTCTCTGAGATCAATACGAGCCAAAAAAACGCTTGATACAGGTGAAAAAGCACAACAAATCAAAGACAAATTGTCTCTCTGTTTTTAAATAAAGAGAACCTGCAGCCAAGGTGAGCATCTGCTTTCCTAACACTGGCATCAGGGCCTTTTACAGTCTGTTTCCCCCTTTAAGTCTGCTTCGTAGCCACGTGACTGGGATCAGTTGTTAGCTGCTGGGTGCCAACTGGCTTTACATAAACCTGATCGTGATCTAAGCGTGTGGAGCTCAATTTTAAAATAATTAGACAGTGCCAGCTCTCCAGAAAGAGACCGGACCTCCTTCAGGCTCTGGCTGAGAGAGAGAAGCCTGTGTCAGAAAAAGCTGATCAAAATCAAAATATTAATGAAATAAAAAGCAGAATTGTGCATCACCTGTCCTGCAATCAATGATTCTGTAGGAGATCCTAACAACAAGAGGCTTTTTGTAGTTTTAGACACCATTCGGAATACTTTAGAGACCTCCCAAACACTCAGAGAGCAACAGGAGGCCTTAGCAGGGGGAGGCTGGATGTGTGTGTGTGTGTGTGTGTGTGTGTGTCGGCCACCTCTGGACCCCATATTCAGGATGCTTTCTAGACACCCGAGGAGGGGCCGACTGTGAGACAGTTGTGCGTCTGTGTTGTATGCATGTAAAGAAGAGCGGGGAGGGGAGGGGGTGATCTCATCGAGGACATGAAAAAAAAAAAAACAATCACACAAACTAGTGTATGCGCACTGAATGACAGACAAGGCAGCCGACTGGTTTACAGAAAGTTAAAGGAAAATTTTAAAACAAAAAGGTCTCACTACAAGGTTTCTTCAGTTTGAGCAGTCTTCACATTTGGGAAAAATAAAAACAAAACAAAAGAAAAACGCAGGAGCAACATCCTTATCTTCATGCTTTCAAATATCTACCGATCACATAGCCTGTACATTGTTTTTTTGTTTTTTGTTTTTTTTTCCTCGTTTAATAATCTGTACACTTGATACAATGCCACAATTGGCACGTACACAATATTGCACACTAATATGAAATGTCCTACATCAGTCAGGTGGCTTCTTCTCTTGCTGGGAAGGAGAAACCCGAGACGTTTTGGACAACGTGGAGACATAAACTCTGAAGACAGAAAAAAAACAAAGAAAAATATGATGCAAAAAGAGACATATCATGAGTGGCGAGGGCTCCCTCCCAAGGAGCCACCAAGGGGGCTGTAGCACCATGAAAAGATAGATACTGCCTTGGCCCTCTGCATCCTCTCGACTGATCTCAGCTTTGACATCTGCTCTCATCCAGCAGCTCCTAGTCTTTAGTTTTTTACTCACCATCATGGTGCATATAGATTACAAAGCCATATTTTATCATTCCTGCCTACAGACAGAGAAGACAACAGCAGGGGCGTTGCAAAGGGGGGCGGGGCCCAGGCCCTTTCCACCCACCACCGCCACACCCGTCCCTCCTTTTAGCTCCGACTTGGTGTTGCAAACTCACACTTTTAAGGACCGTAGAGGGGGCGTGCAAACCCCCGGTAATTCTACCATATCTCTGCCTACGATGACAACACTCGTAAATAAAAACATACAACGGTCGAGGTCACGGACCATCCGTGTGAGAGACACGTAAACGAGTGGAGTGTATAAGGCACGGGTCGTAATGACGTCAGAGAGGATGCTGTAGCCTCGCCGCGCGCTGCGCTGACGCGTCTAAGGTTTCTTTTTTTTTCTTTTTTCTGCGTCTTGCGCCAAGAGACCTCGACCTTTTTTTTTCTTTTTTTTTTTGCATCCCCCACACCAACCAGAGGAAAAGAGTGACAAAGAAACGAATAAAACAAAGACTTTTACCCACAGAAAACGTGGGTCTCTTAATAAGGATCTCGTTTTTTTTTTTTTTTTTACAGCTGATTCACAAAATCATAATTAGTACATCTAAGTTAGCACTTTTCTCCTTTAGGTTTACATGGACATGGTGCAAGAAAGTTGATATTCAATAGAGAAGCTCAGATTTATCCCACTATCAATATTAATATCATTTTTTCCTCTTTAAAGGCCCTCTGTGAAGGCTTTTTAATTCTGTCTGAACTTTTCCAGAATTGCATGAAAGAAATACTGTAAGCTGAGCACGCTTTAGGTCAAACCAGAGTCCAACACTCCAACTTCTTCGCAAAGCATGAGCCGACATGCTGACAGGTTTATAAAAACCTTCTAGTGCTTCTTATTCCATACAAGTGCTTTTACCTTTACTCTGCGTACCTTAATAAGTAAACTTTACATCTTCTGGTTTCTGATTTTGGTTTCATAAAATCCATTATACATGATGTTCTCTTTGTGCTGATGTCAAATATTAATTCAACATGAAGACGATCGATTCATATAATAGACCTCTGCTTTTTACTTTGATTAAATCTTAGCATATATGCAGTTTGAAAACATTTACTTTTCTTTTTTTTTGAAATAGCTTTGATGTGTGCAAAATATGTCATTGATAGAGATAGGCTATAAACACTCTGTTCATTGTCATTTAAACCAAGTAGGAAACAGTTCATATCTTACAGTTCCATCCTTGATAGCAGCGGCTTACTGTTACATGGGTGGTAAGTGGGGTGACATCCAGTAAAATGAGCGAGGAGGCAGCGGAAGGTGCTGCCATGTCTGTGGAGGTTGTGTGTGTGTGTGTGTGTGGGGGGGGGGGGGGGGGGGGGGGGGGGTTGATTACCGTGGAAACTCTCGTTCTATCTTACAGTTAAAAAGTCTCGGGTTTTTCATCTTTTATTTTTCTATTCTCTCACAGTTCAGGATGCGTCTCGCTCGGTTCACCTGCGCTCCTCAGTCAGTCATCGTCTCCGTCATCAGCGCCGTGCGGGCCCTCAGGTAGCAGTTCGGAGGCCCGCTTCTCTCTACTCCGCTCCTGGATCTTCCGCATCTCCTCCGCGTATTTACAGAAGGTGTTGCCGAATTTGGACCACACTTTGCAGGGGACCGTAATGGAGTTCCGGTACGTGGGCTTCACCTCGCTCACCCGCATGAACACGCCGTACTTGTTGGAGCCCACGTCGAAGAAGAAGCGCTTGTTGTCGACCGTGAGAGAGGTGCCCTCCGGGAGCTCCGCCGGCTCCTCGTCCACGCCGTAGTCGTCGATGAGTTTGGCCAGAGCGTCACGGAACTCGATGAGACCCTGCGCCGGCAGAGCGATGGTCTGGCCTTGCGCGCTTCCCAATCCGGGGCCCCGATTAACGGTCTGCCGGATCCTCAGGAACCGCCCCCTCTGGTTCTCTTTCAGATCCATGTAATATTTCCGATTCTCCCGCACCAGGAATTCGCTCTTCAGCGCCCGCCGGGGCTCATCCTGCACCATGTCTGGGTTCGTGGGGCCCAGCTGGGCGTAATGTTCGATAAAGTCCCCGAGATAGTCACGGAACTCCACGGCCACGGACATAGAGAGAGTCAGGCGGCTCTTGTTTCCCCCAGCGCCGACCTCGGCTATCTTTAGGAAGCGGCCTTTAACATTCTGCTTCACATCAAGGTAGAAGCGTTTGTTCTGGATGTCGACACGTTTGGAGGCGAGCTCCTCGGTGTCGTGCTGCAGCCGAGACATGGCGCCCATCGCGCCCGGGGGCAGCGAGCCGGGGCCTGCGATGGGCCCTCCGTGGTCACTGCCACTGTCTCTGTCCGCCATGATGCTGCCTCCCTGCGTTACCTTCCACCGTCTTCCTCTGCCTGCTGCAACCTCGACTGCCCGTCAAGCCGATCCGCTGCTCTATCGCGAGACGAGAGAAGAGGAGGGAGGAAAAAAATAAAAATGAAAGTAACAGGAATTTGTGCTGCGTTCAAGAACCCGCGCTGCTTTTACAACACCGAGCTTACGTTTTGTTTTATTTCATCTTTAATAAAGCAGTGTGCTGTGGAGTAAAGCCGGATTTAATCGAGATCAGATTGAGAGAGTCCAAAAAAGAAAAAAGCTTTTCATCACAGGATTAGATGGTTTCATTAAAAACACCTTCCTCATATTCTGATGTCTCAGATTGTCCTCATCTGAAATCCAATAAAAGCCAAAGCCTGTCAAAGATTTACCTGGGGGTTGTTGGGTGGGTGTTTCAGCACCACGGACAGTTTTCCGGGGCTTTCAGCACCAAGGACAGTGAACCCGCACAACCCACGTGGAAGCAGATGAGGAGCGGAATGACATAGAAATTTGTGAATGAGCAGTCTGTGTGGAAAAAAAATAAAACATAAGTGATGAGATGCGGAACACCAGGAATTATTCCAACGGGGTTTCCTTTTCCTGCTGCATCATTTCATACCAACGAGAGAAGATTTTAAAGAGTTAACCGGAGTTGATATTAGTAAATCCATTTGGTTTTGTCAACAAATTTACTTTTGGATTCTAAAAACTAAAATATTGTAAGTTTCTGCTTTTTGAAACTGAAGTCATATTCTCATTAGACTTTATTTTTAATTAACTCAATATTTCATCTTTCAGTCATACCATGTTCTTAAAAAAAAAAAAAAAACTCAGATGTGTTCTAAATTTAATTTTGTTAAAAATAATAATAATGTGTTTAGCATAGACGGAAAGAACTGCATTATCTTTTTAAACAAGATCTATTATCATTTTTGTAACCTTTCTATTCAGTGGTTGGTCCATCCTGCCAGAGAATGCCCATTAGATAAATTAATGAATTAATATTAAAAGTAAATAAATTATACATAAATAAAAATCTCCTTTGTGTTGACGACTTCGTTTTCAGCTGTTAACTTTCAGGTTTCAGTTTTAAGGGATTGAAAACAAAATCATACTTATCATCGGCTTGTTTTTCACTAAACCGCTGAACCTTATGCTGAAATATTTGGTCTCATTTGTTCAAACTGCATTATTTCATTAACATTTTGATTCATTCAGAGGAAACTTTGCAAGCCTGTTATAGTCCCTGTAGGGAATATTTGTGTTCTCCCCCTTATAAATAATCTTGTAATTTTTTTACTCATTTATTTTTAAATATAACATTTTAATAAAGGAATATTACATCTACAAAACATCACAACAAAAGTATAAAGTTTACTAAAAAAGTTATTGTTTTATAGATATTAACGGGTTACGATGTAAACGCCAAAGAATCTCCAAATAGAAATACTGATTTAAACTCATATGTGAGAAACATTGTGGTTACTTCATAAAAGAGTGGAGAATTTTATTTTTCTTTTCTTTTTTTTCTTTTTTTACATATTACATATAATCACAAAATGGAAAAAAAGATGCAAAATGAAGGCAAGAGGAAGGGTTGCAACAGTCAAACCTTTCACAGATGGCTCTTATTTAAGGAGGCAACGGAACTCAGAAGATGCAGCTTTTCTTTTATGGTTACCAAGGTTACCATTAGCATTAGTGAACCTGGCAACAGGCTGGCAAACGTCACCTTTGAAGATTGGAACTGGAATGGGAGAATGCAGGAGGGCCACCTACTGGCCGGGAGGAGATCATTTTGTCGCTCTCTCCTATGATAATGGAGTTTTGATAGTTTTGAAATTAAACAATCTCAGATGAACGGACTGTAACATTGTTTCTCTCAAGTTGTTGCTGTTTTCTTTAATTTTTATGTAGTTAAAACCTTCATGCTTCATCCTTTATGCCACATGAACCTCTGTATTAGAGCTGGTCACACTTTCTGATAAACTCCTCAATGAAAAATCCAGAATGATCGTGATCATCGATCATTTGACAAGTGGGAAAATATCAGAGAAAAAAAGAAGTTAGGTGATGTTGAAAGGGAAAATAAGAACAGTTTCCTCTCTAAAAATGCCCATGTAATGTAAAGTATAAATCCCAACAGCTGTGTGACAATCAGAGATGGGAAGTAACGAAGTACAAATACTTCGTTACTGTACTCAAGTAGATTTTTCTGATATTTTTACTTTACTTTACTACTTATTTTTATGGTGACTTTTTACTTCTACTCCTTAAATTTTTACACAAATATCTGTACTTTCTACTCCTTACATTTTAAAAAAATTGGCTCGTTACTTTAGTTTTGAATCATTTCAATTGAGTTACCGTTATTATTTTTCACGTCATCAATACCAAATTCAATCTAATTGGATGGGAATCTACGTTACATTTGACGCACCACTACAAGATTCGGCAGTATTCATTGGCAGCAAATCATTGCAGCTTGGTGGCGGTGGCGTTAGCATAGTAGCATGGACGACCAGATGATTGAAAATGAACACAACGGAGATCTAGTCCTATTGGCAGACATCCATTTAAAATGTAGGCAACGGCATGAAAAAAGTGGTTTCTACTTTTACTTTTATACTTTAAGTAAATTTACAAGCCTGTACTTTGTTACTTTTACTTGAGTAAAGAAGTTTAATCAGTACTTCCACTTTTACCAGAGTATTTTTTAACACAAGTATCTGTACTTTTACTCAAGTACAGAAAGTGAGTACTTTTGCCATCTCTGGTGACAATAAGAAAACCACTAATCAGGAAGGCTTATAAGGACTAAACAGCAAAACCTTTACTAGGCATTAAAAAGATATGATTCCAGAGGACTGGAAGAAGTTTCATTTTTCTTCCTGAAAGTTTCATTTTTCTTCCTGAAAGCGCGCACATGCTCGTTCACGACGCTACGGAAACCGCGGCAGACCAAACCAGATGAAAGTGCGCATTCAGCATCTGCTCTGCCAATAATGCAAGCGTAGAAGAAGAAATGTGCTGTTTACCTGTGCAAAGAAAGAAACAACGAAAGAAAAATGTCTGAGGACTTCAGTGTTGAGGAAGAGCATGAGTTCTTTGCCGAGCTGAATGCGCTGGTTTGGTCTGCCGGCTTCTGTAGCGTCGTGATCGCACATGTGCGCGCTTTCAGGAAATCCTATACACTACTGTTTATGCTCTAAAAACATTCTAAATGACTTCGTTTCGAGTAAATTCTGGATGCTACCCACTCAGGAAACTTGGAATACATTGGACGAGCAGTATGGAGGAATATTGACACGTTTTTTGTGGACTTTTATGGACCTTTCTGTCTCGGGCACCATAGACCTCCATTATTTGAATGTCAGCAGACAGCAAGAAGCCTCCCAGATCTCCAGATGCATTTGAGAAATCAAAAAAGTACTCCAGGGTGTTGTTCAGCATGGGGGTGAGTAGAAAATGAAGGCTAATCATGTTTTGGGTGTACTATTCCTTTAAGGGGTAGTGTGTAGGGAGCCATTTGGGATAGGGTGCTGGACTACTGTCCAAGAGTGGCGCACTCCACAGCTACAACAATGTCACTCTAAGCAGCTGGAAGATGCATCACGACCAAATGTCTGACGAATGGGTATCATTGTAGTTTATGTAATAAAAATCAGTGTAGAGAAGCTTTTTTTTTGCTTCAAATTGATCCTCTTCAAGAAGTCAGTTTAATTTTAGTCTGAATCCAAGAAGCTTTTTCAGTTCAAAATGTCAGGATTAGCGTTGAGTTCGAAGGTTTTATATATTAGCCCAACAAAGGCTTGTTTTTGTTTTGAAAACATTCAAATTGAAACGGTCGAAGGGGTCCACCCCTTTAGAATGGGGGGCATTTGGTTTCTTTTTTTAGCCTGCAATGCCCTATACCAGTCTAATGACAATGATATTTAAAAGAAAGATAAAAGATTGTTGAAAAACCAAAGGAAAGTTGGAGTGAAAGGAAACTTTTTTCCCTCCACTCAACTTTCCTGGAATAGTTTTGGATTATATCTCTAAACAGTGAGCAATAGTTTTTAATAAAAACTTTGGTTTGACTAATTTCTAAGTGATTTTATCTTTAAACAGACAATAAGACTTCATAACTATAATTTAATTTCATTTCTGTAGAGTATCTGAAGAACCATTGCTGTAGACCATGGATGTGCAATTCCAGTTCCTGAGGGCCGTTATCCTGCACCTTTAGATGTGCCTTTGGCTCAGCACACCTGAATCAAGAAACTAGAGGATTGAGAAGATTCAGGATGAACTGAATGCATGCTGAGGAGGTAATTGTCCGACCCTGCTGTAGACGGTGGAGGATCTAGAAAAGTTTACATGGTGGAGGGGAAAGGAGGCACTTCATTGCTCATATATAAATGTAATCAGCAAAATATCCCCACCAATTTTTTTTTAGGAGCTATTAACATGAAAACTGTTGTGCTGATCAGTTTAACATCTTGTAAGCAGATCGAAGTAAGACATCTCAACATTTTAGTATATCCAGAGAATAAATATCCATGACTCTCTGCTTCCTTTGTCATCTCCTTCCTATACATCCTCTTCTTTATTGCTGATTCTAAAATCTTCTCTTCACCACTTTTTCTAACATCATCTTTACTCATTTCTTCAGCTGTTCCCTTCAGTGCCTTCCGTTGCCTCTGTCCAGGGGCGGATTTAGGACATTTTTGGCCCTGGGCAAAGAGAGGCAGGGGGCCCTCTGGATTGAGAAGACAACACATAAAACAGACCCATTATACAGATACAGAAATTTTTATAGAATAGAAATATGTTATTTGTTCTACCGTTATTCCCTCTCTTCTTATCCCTTTTCTTGCTCAGGTGACTTTTATGCTGTCTCCAAACGAATAAAAGATTTTCCAATTACTAAGCCTATTGTACCTTAACTGATTGCTCCTTCCTGTGTTTTCTAAATGGTGACAGCAAAAGTTAATATCCCAGTCCTTCTTTTCACTATAGACAAGTGAAAAGAACAGACTTGATCTGCTTCTCTGTTCTCCATTTTTCATTTGGATGAAATAACAGCTGCATGAATCATGACAGCAGACAAGATAGAGGAGAGCAGGAGGCGGGGTTACCAATCTACTTGCTCTGGAGAGCAGAGTTCTGTGCTTTTAAATGTTGCCGCCAAATTCTCCAGTAGCAGAAAAAAGTCACTAGATTTGGTGCTAGGTGCTTATTTGGAAATAAAAGCGCTAGAGGGGTCTAAAAAGTCTCTAAATATAGTGAGAAAAGCGCTGAGGCAGCAACACTGTTTGTTTTCAGATGGTTTGCTGCTGTCTGTTTGTACCTTTCTGCACTGCACTGCAAATAGGTTGATCCAATGTGGTGGACGCTGAATGGGGGCCCCTGTGACATAATATTATAAGCATTCTAATGGCAAGAAAATATTTTTTATCAAAAACATAATTAATGTGCATAAATAAGTAATAGCTGTAATAACTATACATGTAAAGGGAGTGTTATGGGGCCCCCAGGAACTTGGGGCCCCAGGCAACTGCCTAGTTTTGCCTAATGGTAAATCTGCCCCTGCCTCTGACCTTCCTGTTCTCTCTATCAATCTTCCTTCCTCTGATCACACAGTCTCATCTTATTTCTCATCCCTCATTTTCTTGGCAAAGAAACAAAAAACTCCTCCACTTTTGATTGTCTACTTTTATTGCGATCTGCAATGTGCTAACATCGAGCTTTGAAAAAATTAGCACACCTATTATGGCAGTCTATCACAATATGAAATTATTTATCACATTCATACAGGTTAAACAAGCATTTCTATTCAAAAACCTTGTTAGAATGGCAGCACATTAATTATTTTATTTAATATATGAACTGTGAAAGCCAGGTTATTAGAGTTTATATATAAATATTAATTTTGCTGTCATAACTTATTTTGTTTTATTAGTAATTTAATGACTAATTGCATGGTTGAAATTTGTGTACAATTATTATGTTATGTTTATGTTAACAACTTTTTGGTGAATGATTTTTCTCCCTGTTGTTTGTTTTAGTGCAAAAGGCCATTTTGTGGTTTTATGCAAAGGCACTCAAACGCTGTTTTATTGTTGAGGATGAATTGGGTCAGAATAACTTATTTTAGAAGATTTACAAACTGTTGAATAAATTTTGTCTTTTGTACCTTTTGACATTGTGAAAGTTTTTCCTCCTCAACACATTAAGTGAAACTTTGGAAACTAACCTTGTTGCAAAACATTGGATAATAGTAATCGAACTTTATTGATCTCACATTGGATAAATTTACCTCTGCATTTAACCCATCCCCTTGGGGAGCAGCTGGCTGCCATCGTGCGGCGCCCGGGGAGCAGTGTGGGGTTAACCTCAGGATTTCAAGCCCTATGCTGTAACCACTAGGCCACTCCCCACCCTGAATAAAGCATATGTTTCTGATAAATTACTGTATAATTTGAAGGCTGTGCTGTAACACAAGTTTAATAAGTTATTTATTCCAAGTATGTGGAAAATACAGAAAAATTTAAGCAAAACCAAATCAAACAAAAACTAAGGCAGCTGTTTAGTATATCACGTTAGCCACAAAGCCGAGGTTTCAAACCCCTGATCCAACAAATGAAAACTGTTATCTTGCCTTAAAATGTTTGAAGTATAAAGCTCACTATAGCTTCTAAAAAAGCTTTAAAGTAAATTTTAAAGGTTAAACATTTAATTGGTCCGAGGTATGAATCAGTTTCTGTCTTTTCTGCTAGTGCATATCATCATGAGACAGATTTAGTGATATGCTGTAAAAACGGTCAGAAAGAGTTAAATGTTTACAAAAATCAGTGTATTTGCTCCTAATTTGAGCAGGTTAATACAAAGATCTGCTAATGGAATGAGTATTTTTACTCTTAAAATGAGATAATTAGGCTTTATGCACTTGACATAAGACATTTCAGGCTTTTTTATTATTAATTTAAACATAAATCCTCTCATTCCATCAGAAAATTGTCTTAAATCAAGAGAAAACACAGTAACTTCAAGAAAAAATGGTTCTACTAATAAAATGTTTGCAGTGCATGTTATTAAAACCGCCCATGTAAGACCATTTAGTTTCTTTAATAGAATAGAAAGCCTCTTTTAATGTCCCACAATGGGGAAATTCTAGTGTTTAGAAAAAACATTATTGAAAAATGGTCACACAAATGTGAACTTAGAAAAATGTATAAAAATGTCATAGTAGTGACGAGTTCAAGGTTAAACAATAAAATACTGTACTGTAAAGTGTTTTAACAATATAAAACTGTGCACCTGGGGAATAAATAACCAATATACAGTTATGAACATTTTAACAGTAATGCATATTTGAAAAATAGCAAAATCAGAGATGTGCAAAATGAGAGCAGCATGTTATTTAACTGACTAAGGTAGAAACGGCTAAATCAGCCTGAATGTAGCATCCCATTGAGGTTGCTATGAACAGTGATGGTTATAGAGTCTTACAGATGCTGGGAGGAAGGATCTGTGATAACGTTCCCTGGTGCATTTAAGGTGCAGCAGTCTGTCATTGAAGGAGCTCTCCAGTTCATCTTTATAGGTTATTTTTTATAGGTCATATGAAGCATTTTAATGTCTTTTTTTAAATTCAAACCCTACTTTCTGTTTGTTTTTTAATATTCAAAGTTACACCTTTGGTGATGAGATGCTTGAGATGCACATGCTTGCGAAAAAAGGCTTAGTTTGGATCCACTTTAACAACAGCATAAATTAAGACAAACCACCTTGAGCGTGTTTTAATCATCCGTGGAAGTGGAAAGGCTTTATTCCAGCAGCTGATCCTGTTGCCATCCAGCCCCTGTTGAAGAACTGAGCTGCAGTGACTCGCGTATTTCGGGGCGTGCTCATCTGTGGCAGCGTGCACAGTCAGAGGGGGGTGTGGGCGGAGGGGTGGGTTATGTGTTTCTGCTGGGAAACGTAATAAAGGTGAGGTCTTGAAGCCCCTCTCTGCAAGCAAAGCCATGCCGAGGGATCCATTCAGAGAGTTTCGCAGCGTTAGTCATCGTAGCTCTCTGCAGTGTGTGTAGGGGTCGCTTCCTGGGATGGTCGCACACCGGTGGGGTCCGTGGCGGAGGGCCAGTGGTCGCCCGGGTTGTTAGGCTGTTTGCGCAGGACGTGGCGGGCCGACGCCAGTGACCGGGCAGGTGATGTTTGCTCACGTCAGCCGCTCTGGTTTGATGAGGGGCGCAGGGGACGCGGCTGGAGGGTGCGCGCTACTGTTGCAACGCCTCACCGGATAACTGCTGCTATCTCATCCCGTCCGTCTGTCCCAGTCCCTCCTTCTTTCTTTCTTTCTTTTTTTAATTTTTTTGTTTTTGCTTTTGATTTTTTGTTTTGTTTTGTTTTATTTCAGCTCAACGACCCACGGAACTCTTTAAAAGCGAAAGGACAGGATTTGGAGGTGCGTGTGCGCGGAGTGCGCATCGTTTCTTGTGATTCCCGCTGTACGCGCAGGAGAGTTAGTGCGCCCACCCATGCGATGCTAGCCTACTAGCAGAGGAGAAAGGAAGAGAGGGAGAGCTTTCAGTCCTGGATCTTAGAGGAGGCTAATTTACGAGTCTTGTTTTGCCTTTCAGGGAAAAAAAGGGGGAGATAAGAAGGGGAGGGTGGTCGGTGAAGGAGAATGCAGCAATCCCATTTTTAAGCATGCAGAAGCGGGCCGTTTCCGGTTCCTAGGCTGCCGTATCCCCCCCATCCGACGCCAGCAGCCGTATGGGGAAAGCAGAGGCAGACACAGATGGCATGGACACTTCCACGACGTCTGCCGCTCTGCCCTGCCTGCTCTGCCGGAGCCCGTTATCCGCCGTCTCTCTCCTCCAGCTCGCTCCGCCGCCCAGCAGCACTGCAGCACAGCACAGGCTGACGGCATGAGGCTTGATCCAGTGCATTTCTCCATGCTGGTCATCGGGGTCTCCTTCGCCTGTTACGCCCCGAGTCTCAACTCCCTCCAGGACCAGGCGTACAGATCGGCCGTGGTCATCGAGGGCGAGGTGCGCTCCTCCCCGGAGAACGGCTCCTCCAGCGAGCCCTACAGGGTGAACGTCAGAGTGCTGGATGTGTGGCCCGTCAACAGCGGCGGCCTCGAGCGGGAGCAGCTCGTGACCGTCGGGGACTTCGGCTCCGAAGCCCCCTGCACCACAGTGGAGAAGGACCACAGGTACATCTTTTTCATGGACCCCACCGCCGATCCTTTGGTATTCAAGGCATCCTACGCGCCCGTGGATGCCAGCGAGCCGGAACTGAAGAAGGATGTGGAGAGAGTGCTGTGTGGGGACTGCGGTAAGTTTAGGTCTTTTACCCCCCCACAACCCCTACTTTATACCTGCCATGCACCCACAGCGCACTGTAAGGGCCAATGGAGGGGCCATGGTGATGTAAGGAGACAGCTTCTGCTCTGTCAGTGGAAAAACATCCATGCACCTCAACATTCAAACTCAGAAACTGCTGCTTTTTTCCCCCTATCGCAACGATAACTGATTATAACTAAGAGTAAAGCAGGAGACACTATAGGTTTCCTCCTGACAGCGATGAGCAGTTTCATAAAACAACTGTAGATTCCAGTAGGTTCTGACTCCAAGCATGCTGCATTTGAATTGCTTGTGAAATCTGGTGCTGAATTCTGGGTTCAGTGGCACTAAATGGTGGAAGAACCAACGCCTGCATGGACATATAAAAACATTTATCTGTTTATTTAAATAAAATAAAAGCCTGTACACATCATTTCTTATTGAATATTTACTAAAAGACACAGTATGGACTCAATTGGAAAGGTGTGACTATAGGGATGACAACAGCTGACACTGAAACAAGACTAAAAAAAGAAATGCTTTATATTCTCTATATTTAGCTCCAGAATAAAAGAGACTTCTGTCTGGAGGCAGTAGATCCTTAGAAAAGCTCTGTCAAACGTCTAAACAAAGGCTTGTAATGTTTGATATGACAGTTCCAGGTTCTATTTATAGCCTGCATCAGTGAGCTGCTAAAATTGTCAAGGCTTTAATCCCTTCTTTTTTCATATTCTATAAAGGAGGCAGAAGTTCAGGAGAGGAGCTTCTTCTCAGCAGATGTTAGCTTCAGCTCTGCTTTTTTATGCCCCTTGTGAGAGAGAGTCCCTGCAGCCTGGCTTTGTGAATAATGCATGCTTTTTTTTTCACAACAGGACTAACATACACACTCACATGAAGATGGAGCTTCAGAGTGTGCAGAGTAAATTGGTGACTGATCCAGGGTGGCAACAAGTGGCATCATTACAGCATCAGTGTTCTTTACTTTCCATTATAAAAACGGCTTTTTTTGTTTTTGTTTTTTTTAGATAGGATCAAACAGATAGAAACAATAAAATCCCTTTAATATTGGCACTGATATGTCTGATTGTCGGCTCAATCAACTAAAGCAATAATCTGTCCACATTTAGCTTTGGGTCAGCTCTTTAGCCACAGTCACCTTATCTATCAGAATTACTAGGATTCCTAAAAAAATACTTTAAAATCAATTTTATTAAGGAGCTTTTTCAGTTTTTCAGTACTTTTAAAGTTTATTAAAGTTTCTTTACAACCATATGAGGGATTGAAATGCAATTTTTACAAGCATGACATTTCTAAGGTATATGGAAGGCTGAAATATATAAAATAAATCTCATATAAGAGGTAATATAATATTTAATTATCAAATATAGCATTATATTATGGAATGTACAGTGGGATAATTTATTGTTACATTAAATTCACCTTTAAATAATAAATCAAAGTATTTAATGTATGTCTAAGGTCAATGCATTCCTTTTTAAAGTAATATAATTACAAAAAAGTTTATTTTAGGGGGTCCCCAGTCTCTGGTAGCTGCATTTTGGGGTCAGAAACTTAAATGATACCCTGATCCACACCTATGGGTCCAAAATATTTCAGCCACTGAACCTAAAAAGAACGATGCAACAGGCTGGCGTCCCCTAAAAATACATCGACTTACTTTACTTTTTACTTATACATATAAAGTTAAATAATTGTAATGTTTTTTTTAACCAAATGTAAAATATAATTATGTTGTTAATTAAATATAATTATATTTGTACTTATATGATTAAGCATTTAGTTGTTTATTTGTGCAATTTACAACTTTATGGTACATTTAAAATTTTAATCCTATATTTCATTTAAATCAATGTGAAATTAATAAATCTACTTATTATATGTGACATTCACATTACGATATATTTTTCCCTCTATATTCCTGAGGAATCAACGTCACGGTAATTATGAAAACTATAACCATTGGAACCTCTGTTTCAAACAATATTTTAAATGATAAGAAATATGGGTCAGCGTTAATCATATCTTTTTATCGCGTTAGGTTTCTAGTCATACTAAGAATGTTGATTTATCTTTATCATTAACATTTGAATTTATGATAAAAAAAATTCTAGAAAATGGGTGAATTGTCATAATTTTGATCTTAATATTGTTTGTTTTATTTTTACTGGAGCATTGACAAATTTGAAGAATATTATTAAATACGGTTACTATGAGATGTTAAATGATATAAATCATACTTTTTTTATCTAACTGGTGTCCCGAAGAAGACACATTTTTGAATGTGCAGAATTCTTCCAGAGTATTATTTATGATTGTGGGGCTATGATGACTGTGATAAGCAGTCACAGTTGGACATTGCTTTATTACAGTAGACAGACTTTTCCACTGTTTAACTCGATAAACTGAAATAAAATAAGTTATTTTCCTCTTGATTCTGAATTTGCTCAGTTTGAATCAACATTCAATTTTTGGTGTGTTTTATGCTTCTCTTATGTAAAGAAGTTAGTGAATATTTCCTGGTAGTAGCTAATTTTTAAATGTATACAGAATCAGGGCTGTCTGTGGTTGTACTGTCAGTGAAATGGAATAATTTAGATTTTTCTAAGCAGTGGATGATCCAATTATCCAACCTGATGAGTTATACGTGTGGGTCAGTATGGTGTCTCTGTTGTTCCAACAGACCTCTGCGTAAATTTGTACGGAGTGAACTTTGTCCCAATATTGTTGCAAAAAACATGTTTTATAAATTGAAACTTGAATAAATAAAGCGAACCAGAAATGAAGTCTTAATTTAAAAGGTTTTAGGTATAACACTGCTGTTCTCTTAGATTTTATTCGAAAAAATATATATATATTATGTTTTCTTTAATATGTATATTTTATAATTTAAGGTTTTCAAATTCTCTTTTCCCAGATTCATTTTTTTAAACAAATTTTATTAGTTTCAAAAAGTGTTTCACAGCTCACATTCTCTTCACTTAGGGCCCAATACCAGTGATCGCTCTTGAAAATGTTGTTGCTAATTTCCACACAGAAACTTTTTATTATGAGAGATTTTCCAAAGTTTTATTTTTGGAGTCCCTGTTGATTTACAGAAGTGTTCCTGCAACAATAATGAAACAAAATTCACTCCGTAGATCTGGGAAAACTGATGATAGTAGAGAGTCCACTTGTTCTGTTGTCTAAATCTGCCGGATTTGGAGTCGCTTTGATTTTAGTCACTAAACACCATATTAAGTTCAACGTTAAGGGAGGGAAATTTATTAAATTAGAGAATAACAGCAAAAAGATGCTTTCCATTTGTTGGCAGAAATGCAAGCCTTCCATCGCAAATGTATACATCAAGCTTTTGCTAAACTTTAATGGAAACAGTATTTGTTCTTATCTAGTGTGGAAAATGTTAAAAACCTGCCTTATTATTAGCCTGACGTAGTCCTACTCAATTCTAGTCAGAATATGAGTCTGATACTGCTCCATAGAGCTGTGATTATGGGGCGTGTTTCGAATGAACCAGAAAAAAAAAGCCTCTGCACTCAATTGGATAGACCTACAACCAATAAGAGCAATGGAGGGCGTGACGTATTTTAAGCGAGGCATAGTTGTTGTCAACAAAAATCAAAGCGTGCAGTTGCACGCCTAGAATAAGAAGATGAGCCTTGATCGCGTTTCTCTGTTCCTCTTTTAAAATTAATTTGCTGTCGATATCTTCTAGAACAGACCTAATAGCAGAATCTACTCACCTCAACTCTCCAGCGGCAGCCATTGTTGTTGTCACCCAAGCGCGCTTTGGTCACGTGGTTGATTACGTTACTGTTGATCATCTGTCCATCATCGTATAAAGCCCGCCCTGACAATTTGATTGGCCCGCCAGATATTGTGCGAGCATACTCGCGCTAATATTGAGCAATGCCAGAACGAACTTCCCAACCTCAAACGTTGTGGGCGGGACTAAGTTCGGAATGGCACCCAGGCTACCTTATTATCTGATAGCTTTTCAAAATTAGCCTAAAGAGATACGTTAAGAGCTAAGCATGGTAATTTTAGTTAAAAAAAAACCAAAAACATTAGTATATGGATGTGTGTGAATCCTTAACGGTTCTGCCACTTTTTCTGTGTTGGTTAAATGGAAATAAGTGTCCTTCACAGGGTGGCTGGGCGCACCCTTCGAGTTTGGGTGAGGAGCTCAGTTACCTGGGAGGAGCTCTGAGTTGAGTCGTTGCTCCTCCACGTCGAAAGGAGCCAGCTGAGGTGGCTCGAGTATCTGTTTCAGATGCCTCCTAGTCGCCTCCATCGGGAGGAGTTCCAGGCATGTCCCATTGGGAGGAGGCCTCGTGGAAGGCCCAGGACTCACTGAAAGGTCTCTGTCTCTGAGCTGGCCTGGTGTCGCCTCAGCAGCCCCCCCAGAGCAGCTGAAGGAATTGTTTGTAGATGGGGAAGTCTGGGCGTCTTTGCTTAGACTGCTGCCTCCACGACCCAACCCTGGATAAAGCTGAAGAAAATGGATGGGTGAACAATTTAGCCAAAAATTACAAATTATGTATTTTTTTCTTTTTTTTTTACAAAAATTGTGATTTTATTTAGATTTTCCTCTGCACCTAAAAGCTGCAGTCTGTTACATTGAGAAGAGAGCAGACTTCGACTGAAAATTTGAAGAAAAACAGGTTTCACGCCACTCCCCCACCCTCTCTGCTTCACTCATGCCCCACCTCCAAGCTCCACCCCTCTCACAGCATCTGCGCGGCTACCGCATGCGACCAGAAGCGTCCAAGCAGCGTACGCGGCAGCTCTTCCATTGACATCTTCTTTTTTGAAGTCTTTGCCGTGTAAGCAGTTGTCGGCAGGGGCAGTAAGGGCAGTTTCTCTTTCGCTGGTGGCTGTCGCTCCGCCATGACTTCCACGCGCGTCCTCCTGACTGCGGCAGCCGGGCGGCAGCGGCAGGTTCAGCGGTGAGAGGGAGGGGGCGGGATTCAG